AAGAGTAGGACAGTTACAGATGCAGACAGAAACACCAGGCAGGAAAGGAAAAGGATAAAAAGGGAGGGGGGAGGGAGGAGAAGCATGCTGGGCATGCATATTGTCTGGGTACCTTAAACTCCATACTGGGGAGAGATGGAGGAAAGGAAACAGAGGAGTTCAAGGTATATATATAAAGATCTCTTTCTTTTCTCCTCTCTTTCAGCATATTGTCTGGGTACCTTAAACTCCAGACTGGGGAGAGATGGAGGAAAGGAAACAGAGAAAAGAATATAAGGCATGGCTGGAAAGAGAAACATAGAGGCGAGAAAGCAGGAAATGTGTCAAAACCCCTGGGAGATCTTATGGGACCAGTCCATTTCGACCCCCACAGAGAGTGAACTAAGGCAAAAAAGTCTGGGAATCCCAGGCAGGAAGGGTTTACTACCCGCAGCCTTGAAATACATGAATAACGTGACCAATGTAACGGGCTACGATCCGAACTGGGATCAATAAGTTATGGCTTTATCACCCCTCTCATTAAGAGGGGATCATTCTTGTTACAAATCTGTTAAGACATATGATTTGTTGATAAAACCTGAAACTGAAGAGATGAACGCAACAGACAGTTAACTTGTTAGACAATTAACACTTTTTATTTGAGGACTTTGAACTGCTTGATAATTCCAACACAAGGAAGGTGGGTCAGGAGGTACCAAGTGTGAGACAACATCACAAAGTTGTAAGTCAATATGTTGAAGAGCCTGTTCAGATGGGTTTTCTGGGCTGTTTGACCGTGTTCTGAAGGTTGTTCTTCCTAACGTTTCACCAGTCTCTGTGGCCGGCATCTTCAGAGGACAGCACCTGTTCAGACTCCATAGAGAGATTGCAAGATTCTGCAAGAAACTAGCTTGGAAGTGGTGAGAATATTGGACAGGTGTTAGTAAGGCCCTGATTCAAATCCCCACTTAACTATGATGTGGCAGTCTGGGGCTTGTCACAGGGAGCACATAACCACACCCCCTGTTACAGCAGCTCCACCTCGTTACAGCCGATCCATTTTGAGAGACAATTCAAAATACTGCTTCCAACATATAGTTCGGATTCAACAGCTTCAGTCCGAGCTATCTCAAGGACCATTTCTCCTTTTATGTACCTGCCCAGGTGTTAAGATCATGCTTCTCTCATCCAACCACCTTCACAGATGTACTTGATGGGGACACAGGAGAAGGCTTTCTCTGCTGCTGCTTCTGGACATTGGAACTTCCCCCCATAGGAGGCCAGACTGGCCGCATCTTTGCTGCCTTTCTACAAGCAGGCAAAGACTTACTTCAGGCAAGCTTTTCCTTTGTGCCTGCCTGCCTGTCCGACTGAGATTTTTAAATGGATTGTTGTATTTTACTGCTTTGAATGTGTTTTGGTGTTGCTTTTGTTTGCCATTTTTTAAAGGATAGTATGTGTGTGATCCTTTCAGATTTTCTTTTAAAAGTCACTGTTGTTAGCTTTGCATACTGTCCTAATGTTTTAAGCCACCTTGGGTCCTTTACCACATAGGGGAAAGGTGGGGTAAATATATATTAAATAAACAAACAAATAAGACATTAGCTTGGTGATCTTGCACCAATTGTGATTTATTTATTTTACAAGAGTTTTTAGCCACGCCATTACCAATGGTCTGTGATCTGCCTAACCAGGACTAGGTTATGACACACTGAGTACCGAAGCTATATCAAATTTGATATATCATGTAGCATGAAAAATAAGTATTATGGGAAATGGGAAATTCCATAATGTTTCCTTTTTTGTATGTAGAGCCCTTTCTTAATCTTACTAGCTTGCATGTAAATGCAACACTGTCTTTTAACTTGACACACAAGTCATGAAATGAGGATGGACTGTGGCCTTTTTAGAGGAAAATGAGATCTAAACACAGTAAACAAATCAGTAAAGTGGTAAAATAAAACATAACAGTGAATCCCATCCTGAACCACTGGACTGTTGGTTCTGGAAGTTTTTACCTTTGACCTGCCAGACTCCTCAGATCCTATGCAGTGTTGTATCTGTGACTGACAGGCCATTCCTACACTGTGAGACAGTCTGTCCCTAGAGACTGTCAAGCCCCTGCTAGAGAACTTGCCTTTGGTGCAAGACCAAGAGGACAAGCACATTTCCTGCTGTGATCTGCACAGTTCACAAATAATAATAATAAATAGTAAAATAATCTCTCTAGCTTTGTCCATGTCAAGTGAAGCATGCATACACACCCCAACCACAAAAGGGCAAACATCAAAGTACTTTTCCTTTTAATAATTTATGCAACAAAACACTGCAGTTATCATAGTTTTATATGTTGGGCATTTATAGAAATGCATAAAAAGCAATCTTGCAAATAAGCAATTCTTTTTTTTCTAGTACCTATACAAAACCATCTCTGTTTCACAACAAGGAGAAACTGTTTTGTGCTTTTTCATTTGGCAAGAGTGAACCAAGTCAGGATTTACTGTATTCCCCTAGCTGAAAGCGGCCACAGCTTTGTTTGGGATTCTGTCCCCTTAGCAATATTGGTGAAGGTTTTTTTTTCCTACTGTGACAAACCTAGGGTTTCCCCATTAATCTACCAAATGCCTCTCTCTTATAGATCAGAATAATAATCAGTGTGGGAAGATATACAGTTTCCTTTGAACATATCAAGGTGTGACCAGTTGTCCCTTTCGTTCACCAGGGAAGAAGCAGTGTACTTTCCCCCTTCTTGTCTTTAAATATCTGTGCAGCACTTAGAATGTTTTAGACTTCTCAACATTTTAAAATAAAAGCACTTTAGTAATAAAGAGGTCCTGGTATACTTTACATGTTCTTGAGTAGGTGCGAAAGAGGGGGGAAAGGGAATTTGTGAAACCTCAGTACATTTAGTCATTGAAGAAGAAAATATAAAATTCTGATTTAGAAGCTGTGGTAACTTTCAGCTTCTGCATTTTTGTGAAATATAACCTCAGGAAGCCTACTGATTTTGCAACTTTATTTTTAAATGTTTGGCTGTATGTTTCTTCACTGTATGGAGCTATTCATGTGGATACTGTCCTGTTTCCAATAAGCCAGGTTTTAGCTCAGCCCAGCTGAAGCACTGGACTTTTTGGGTACAATGTTTTCAGAAGAGCTGTTACTTAACTCAGCGTGAGAATAAACAGCAGGGGAAAATATTGTTTGATCTGCTCTGATTCTCAAAGGAGGAAATTGGTTTTTCCCAGCTGAAGTCACTGTAGCTGTTCAGACTCAGGACCAATTTGCAAGAGTCAGCAGAAGCAAAGAGTTCTGTTTGCACTGAGCCCCAATAGCAGAAGCTGCCTTAAAAAGCCAAAAAGTGTTAACTAGCAATTTTCACCCCTCTCTGTCTCCTTCTTTCTCTATTGTTCTCCTGAGTGCTCTCGTGCACTGGTTCTTAACCTTGGGTTACTCAGGAGTTTTGGACTGCAACTCCCAGAAGCCTTCACCACCACCTCTGCTGGCCAGGATTTCTGGGAGTGGAAGTCCAAGAACATCTGGAGGCCCAAGGTTGGGGACCACTGCTCTAGTGAAACTCTGTTCCAGTGCTGATTTGAAACCCTTAAAAAACCCCATGTTTCTTTAACTAAGAAACCAGCCAAGAAATAGAGACAAGAATCACTCAGCTAAGTGGAAGTGACACTCCCATGAGCTTCCCTTTGCATCCGATCAAGTGACCACACTGGCAGAAAGTGGGCAAAACCGATTGGAACAAATTTAAACCATCTCTGATGGTTGAGCAAAACAAAGTGATTCCCTATTCAGAAAAGTTTATTGTACAATAAGCTTCCCTGCATTGAACTTTACACCATGTAGTCATAGGGTTTAAATTCAAATTCATCAGTCCCATATCTGATGTAAATTATGGGGTAAAAGGCCAATGATGCTGCTGCCTCAGTGTCGGTCAACATATTTGTGTCCTGAAAGTGCCTTTGATTTTTTTGGTTTCAAAAACAGACTTATTAAAACATAGAGCACATGCAACAATTAGTATCAGGCACATGCTGCAGTTCTCTGCATAGTTTTAAAACCACAAGAGGGAAGCAAGAGAACATGAAGGATGGATCTACCTAATATATCCTGAGGCATTCAGAGATATGAGAGCTTGTAATAACTTGAAGAATCATATGTGAGACAAAGAACTAGTATGATTCACTGGGTGTGGGGGCAGATGGCTACAAAGCCAGGGGCCTGGAGTTCAAATTCCAAGCAAAAATCACCCAGAGGCTGTGTGAAAGATTGAGGTTACGTGCCCTGCCACCTGTGTTGACTTCTGCAAGTTGTATGATCTCAGGATGCCACCACAAGGATGGGCTGGTTAAAAACTTGATATCTAGAAAAACACTGGGAAGGTCACAATAGCTTGAAATTGGTTTAACAGTGCATGAATAATTATCACCATCATCATAGTAATGACATGGCACAAAGCCCTGAGGGGAAAAATATATACAGTAGGACCCCTGTATCTGTGGGATAGATATCTGTGCTTTTACTTATCCATGGTTTGCCACAGCTCTATATACAACATGTCTTGCCCCCTTGTATGCTGTATATAAGGTTCCTTCATCCATAGTTTCAGACATTCACTGTAGATCATGGAACTGATCCCCAACAGATACAGGGACCCTACTGTAGTCTTGTGACAAGTAGGTCTTTGGTTCTTGCACCAAAGAGAGATTCTAAAAGAGTAGAAGTGTCAGACAGTTCTATGAAGAAGCAACTAACAGAATTGAGGTGGGTTTTCCTGAGGCCATTCTTCACCCATTTTTCTTTAACTATGAAAATGACTTCAAAGTATCAAGTCAGATCTTAACTCTCAGTTCCTATTTCTATTTCTCAAGAAAGGAATTGATGTGAATTAACCAGCAACTGGAATAATACTAACATCTACAGTGGACCCTCTACTTATGGAATTAAACCGTATTGGACCGGTGGAGGCCATTCTTCACCCATTTTTCTTTAACTATGAAAATGACTTCAAAGTATCAAGTCAGATCTTAACTCTCAGTTCCTATTTCTATTGTTCAAGAAAGGAATTGATGAGAATTAACTAGCAGCTGGAATAATACTAACATCTAGTGCATAAATTCAGTGCAAGAAAAGCAAGGTATTGATAGTTTCGTGAGGGTCAGTTTTCCTGTAGAAAATGGCACACACTTATCACTACATTACACTTAATTTCAGCAATTACTTCTTATTGTGGATAGTTTTAACAGTTAAAAAGGAGAAAAGCAAGCACGTAATATTCCATTCCACAGCACATCAAGTCTCTGAAAGAAATACTACCAGCTTTCAAACTCGAAGAGATGTTGATGGCTGTTGATGACTTTCCAGCAAGAAAATCCGGTCACACAAACTATAAAAACAGGAATACTTTACTGTCTAAAATCCTGTTTGTGGAGCTTTGCCACCTAAGGCTGATGATATCAGAACTATTTTCAGAAATACAACATTTCCAATTCCCCCCCCCCCAAAGCTTCCAAGATTCTGTGAAATCCCTTTCATTATGGGGAATCTGCCAGGTTGCAGGGCACGTGGAAGTATCCGATTTTCTAAAATTGCTACTGCTGGTAAAATTGTCAGCAGCAATATTTGAAAATTAAAGCCTTCCCACCCTGCAGCCCCCAACATCTCCTCCATTACGAAGGAGATCCCATGGGAGCCTCTGGATCTATGTGGGAAGGAACTGGAAATGTTTTTGAAATGTTATTGCAGCTGATGACATCATCTTATGTGGTGTAAGTTATGGAACATGGTTTCAGCCACTGAATGTTAGCAATGGCAGGATGTTAGAAGAAAAACACACAGAATTTATCAGGATCATATGAGCAGAATCAGTTCTGAAAGATGTGTAGGCCAAATAGAGGGAAAAACAATTGGTTCCTTCCAGTTTTATTGCCTTTTATCCTTGAATCTAAATTCAATGGCGGCTCCTTTATCCACATGGGAAACACATGGGGTGTGAGATCCGAAGCTTCCATGGGCTAAGAGCACTGCTTCTTCTTTACTGAAAAGGGATCGATCTGCATGTGACATTTAAAATTAAAAAATGGATAATTGCCTTGGACAGTATTTCATTGATGTAAGGAAGTTTTTCTTAGCTGAGATGTTTCAACTCAAGGTAGAATATTTAACTGGAAATAGAAGGACAAGAAAGAGACATATGATAAGCATTTTATCTTTCTTGGCACAAACGGTCCTCTCTGTTCACCAGTCGCAAAACATGTATACACCACTATCTTGTCTCCACATCACCTTTTCTCAAAACTAAACACCTCCAAACACTGTAACCTTCCTTCCTAGGGGAGCTGTTCCATCTGTTTTCTTTGCTGCAGCTTTTCTGGTTTGATAATAGATTGGTTTCGGCTGCATTGATCAGAATGATACACAATGGCTGAACTCCAGTAGCAAGTCATAACTAGAATAAGCCAATTGTATCAGTGGGGATTTGGTGAGTCAACTGCTCTGTAACTTCTTTTAATTCAAAGGGCCTACTCTAGTTGTGACTTACTACTGGATTTCTACCACTATTTCATTTGTGGTTATTTTATGAAGTTGTATGGCAATATGATATAGGATGTTTTATTCTATTTCATTTGTGGTTATTTTATATGTATGGCAATATGATATAGGATGTTTTATTACTAGTTTCCTTTTTAATTAGACAAAATATGGCATCTGCCTTTTTAAAGATAACAGCTGCACACTGGAAAGGCGCATTTGTTCATCAATCTGCCACAACCCCAAGATCCTTCTCAGTCAGTCACTACGAGCTAAAATCCCATCAGTGCATATGTAAAGTTGAAAGAATTTACACGTGATGAAGAGAACTGCAATTTATAAAACCCTGTGCCACTTAATTGTGTTTAATTATGTCAGTCTTCAAAAAAGCCCCAAGACCCTTTGTTGCAGTAGCTTAAGATGGCTCCCATCCCCAAAATTTGAAATATACAAATCTGGGATTGTTTGCTTGAACATGAATTACTTCATTCTTGTTTCCACTGACAACCACTTGCCATTTTAATGCATCTTTGCCAAGTTTGAGAGCTCCATTTGGAGACTTTCACAATCCATTTTTGTCCTAGCTATCCTCAATATCATGGTAAACCTGACTCCAGAACATGCATGAACATAATAGAAGGCACTGGTACAGATCCTTGAGGAACACCACTATTTATGTTCCACTCACATTGAAGATCTTTTACTTTCTAATTCATGGCTTGGTAAATAGTTAAAGAACAAAAGAAACAGTTTATTTTGTCTAGACTCACCACTTTTTAAGGAGAAGCTTGCATTTCATCTCAAGTGCTTTAGTAGGAAAAACAGTGCTAATATAATCACAATGGCTAGAATTAAAGCACCAAGTGAAAGTCCTTGAAGAAGAAAAAAAGGGGAGGGGGGAGAAAGAGAAAGAGACACAATATGCTGTGTGATGCTGATAATAACAATTTTTCTATTAAGGAACAGCCCACCCAGTGTATCAATAGAAATGACTAAGCATAAATTCGGTCTAGCTCAAATTTGTTATAATATTGGGTACAGTAATCTTGCAGTCAGACAGACATCTGTTTATTTTTAATCAGTTATTGCAGTTCAGTAATAATTGTTGTACACTTAAATTTCTGAATTACTTACCAACAATAATTGCTGCTATGTTTTTAACTCCTAAAATGGAGGAGGGAAAATAAGATGGTATGAAAAGAATTGTTAACAGTCAGCAGTACAGATATGTGGTCTTTCTCTAGCACAGCCAACAAACTGCTTTTTTGCTGCTTGTAGACAGATATAGCAGTAAATGTTAGGTTGACAGTAAAGAGAATTATTTTAAAATGCCTCTCCCCGACCAAAAATCTACAGCCATTTAAGAAATCTCTTTGCTAATAAAAAGCCAACTAAATACATTCATAGGTTTACATGCACAACTTGAAACATTTGTGCTTGTTTCTAGACACCTTTCCTGCTTCTTTAGGGGCTTAAAAAACTACCAGCACCTCAGGTCTACTAACGTCTACTCAAATGCCAGTCCTATTTAGTTCAATGGGACATAATGTAAATGACATAGGATTGCAGCCTAAAGTGATTCTTTGTTTGAGGGGGGGGGATGGGGGAATCACAGCAGCCAAGTGTAATTCCAGTACTGCATTGGGAATTCTGTGTGTGAACAACAAGCCAACCATAGTTACTTAACCAACTGACATGTATATTCAAGCCAAAATATATAGTATGCAGAGATTTCAACACAAATACTGAGATTCAGAAAACTGCCTTCATAGTTGTGGGGCAAGTTGTCTCACTGCCCAAGGTGGAAAGAGATGTGGCTTCCCCTCATTGCACAGGGAGTACCACTCCATGGCAACACTCATGCAGACATTAGTCGCCAAAATGGCAGTGCCCTTACTGCTCTGTGCCACCTTCCTAGCCCAGCTGCTTTTAACCAGCTATGCATAAGAGCCAGTTCCAAGATGATCCTTGGGCCCAAGGAACACTTGGAAGGGTAACCAAAACCATCCCCTGTACCACACCCCACTTGTTGAGAATGTCTAAGCTACTACCTCCTGATTCTATTTATTTAATACTGAATTTTTGCCTGTGATGGCTGGTGGGCAGGCTGCATATATGCAAAAGAATTTTCAGGATCCAAGAATGTGGGTTTGCTCATTTTCTGTGTTCATAATAGCATCACCCAATTAAAGGATCTTTGGTATCAGGGCCAAGGGGAGCTTTTGCACAATAATTGCAGAGTCAAGGCAGGTTAGCATAGCCCATGGTGAGACAGATGATCTAGATGTAGTTTTATCCATTCACATACCAGGCCAGGCCATAAAGCACTAAAACTAAATACAGAAAGAATTGCAAATTGCCCTGGGATTTTTTTTTAAATCAAAGGGCAGTTTTAAGGTTTCAGTAATAAACACACACAAGTTCATGAGAATCAAAAACAATTGTTTACCTGGTTTTTTTTTAACCGTTTCTTCTGTGGTCCCTTCTGTTGACCCTGTGTAAAAAGTGTTAATTTATTATTTTTCATTGTTGACTCCAGTTCCCAGAAGCCTTCACCAGCAACTGTGCTGGCTAGAGTTTCTGGGAGTTGTAGTCCAAGAACACCTGGGTTACTCAAGGTTGGGAACCACTAGTGTGAAGGACAGATAAAGGACATAAATGTCCTTTAATCTATGTAGCTAAAATCAGACAATCTTAGATTAACAAATAAAAAATAAAGACTAAAACTCCCAGAAACCACAAATAAAAATAAAGACTAAAACTCCCAGAAACCAGCAGCTGTGCTGGCCGGGTCTCTGCGTGTTGCAATCCAAGAACATTTGCCTCACCCAAGGTTGGGAACCATTGCATTCAATGTGGGGTTGCCCTTAAGGCTTGTCTAGAAGCTGCAAGTAGTGCAGGATACCGGAGTAGGCTGCTCACTGTGGGAGTTTCTTTCCCTCTGTCATCCTGTCCACTTATCAAACTCAACAGATGAAGCCCTCTTTGTAACATCACAGATATATCAGGCATCCATTTGGTGATCATCCAGCAGTGAGACCTGATAAGTGGAACGTCTCCTCAGTTGTACAGCATGTGCCGGCTGTAGTACTGTTCTGCTGCCTGCATGGAACATACTTCCTTCAACAGACATTGTTTGAATATTTGCACTGCTGGTCTACACTGTTTAATCTGTCAGTGGTGTATTTATTATTAATTCTTTTGCTTAACCCATGCACAAACATCTGTGACATTACTTTTTCTCTTTTCATTACATTTTACTAACAGATGATAAAACAAACTTCCTTGCCTTTAATACATCAATCACTGCTTGCTTTTGAAACAAAAGTTTCCAGCTACTAGCTATCAAAGCTTAAGTTCAATGTAAGATTGGAGGAGGAACACTGTGGCCTCCGCCAACCAGGATCAGAATTTTCTTCACTGTTTAGGTCAGTCTTCCTCGGATTCTGATGATTCTACAGCAAAATATCACTCTGAGGAACAAAAAGATTCCATCCCAGCAGAGGAAGGCTAGATTGTTTTACTTACTGACCTCTTATCAACATTCCTTTCTTCTTTATTCACTTTCTTTCCCTTTTTGGCCTCTACCTATATTTTTCATTAAACCTCAACTTCATTTATTTTATCCCTTCTTTCTAGTTGATTCTTTTGAAAGGAATTCACTGCCTCCTGACTCCCATTCCTCTCCTTCAGACATCAGTCTTCATCTGAAAGGACACCTCTTCTCCTCAACTTTCAAGAAGCCATCCGTGGCTCTCCTTTTTACCATTTTCTTTTTGTGCCCTTAGTGATTTTTTTTCAAAAGATTATTTTTAAGATTGTCTGCATGTGCACAGAATTTGCTTCGCTAAGTGCAAGAACTGTATAGCATTTATTAAGACTTTTTATAAATAAAAACGTAATAATATTAATAGGTTTGTATGTTGGGATTTAGTTTTCTGAATATTTAGCTGAGATTGTTTAATATTCAGATAGAGTTTGATGGCGAATCATGCATGTTATTATTATTTTACAGTTTTGAGACGTTTGATGGGGGTTAATTTGTTCAACAACATAAACATGTTCATTTCTCTGAAAGGTGTGTCTTTATCACTAGTTGACACTGAAATAATATTATTAATCTAGCCATAGATGCTTGTGACTAGAGCAAGCCTCCTAATCAAAGAAGTCTGAGAAGATGCACCCCCATCCCCCCCAATACCAAGCTAGAAACCATTCCAGGTCTACCAGCACTTCATTGTACTTGCTTCTGAACTACCTGTACTATATGGGTTTAATGTTCCCTTTGCATCTGTAAAACTGTATTTGCTCTCTGAACATCAGATATGGGCAAAGCAGCCCTAGGGCAAAATGCAGCCTCTCAAAACTGCTTTTGCAGTCTCATGTCCCATTATATTTTTCATTCCCTGACCCCCAAAAATGTTTTTCCCAGGAGAAATAGGTCAACTACAGCTCCTGGCAGCTTCCAGGAAGGCATGAAAAATACATTGATCAGCATTATCAAGTCAATGTTGACTTATGGTGAACTTTTTCAGGGTTTTGCAGATAGAGAATACACAGAAGTGGTTTCCCATTCCTTTCTTCTGGGGCCACTCTGGGACTGTGCAGCTTGCCCAAGGCTACACAGGCTGGCTCTTCTCACAGGAAGCACAAGGTGGGAATTGAACTCCCATCTTCTGCATCTGCATCCAGGTAGCCAACTCATCTAGCTATCCAGGCAGCTTATTGATTGTTATTCAACCAGCTTTAAACTATTTGGATACTGAAGAAAATTATGGTACCTAAATTTTCAATGCTGAAAAATATCTAAATCATCAATTGCTCTACAAGAGGATCAGTGATTTTTTTTTAAAAAAAAGTCTTAGTGCATGAAAGTTCATAAAAGTTCTCAAGATCTGCAGAACATGTTTGATTCTGTAGCTCTGCAGCAGTTATCAGGACTCTTTCTCATATCAGTATGCTGGGAAATGCCCGTATGGGAAAAGTCCACACTACAGAAGCTCCCTATGTCAATTTGAATGCAGCTTCTGAAAAGTTAAAGTTGGAGTAGGTGCTATAGGAATACTGTACAATGCTTAGTATGTTTGCTAGCAAGCACTGTAAGAATCTTACGCTGACATTGTGGGAGTTTTGCTTCCCATTCAACTCTATCTCCCTTCAGTACGCACTTGGTAGAAGGGGATCCAATTAATTTGTACCTAAAGGAAACAAACAAACAAAAAAGAGAGAGCAAGGTGTGTATTTATCTCATTCATCCATAGTTCCTCCAGATCTTAAGATTTTGAAATACAATACTCTTTTGTTTAGTGAGGCTTGTTTACTGGACTGAGGACCAGGAATTGTCTAACGCTGCCCCTCATTACTCAATGTCAGCCATGTTCTTTAAGATTTTTTCAACTGCATTATTTACCGTACCTACATATTTATGGTTTAACTAAAAAGCTTTATTCTGTTCACTTTCACTGTTATCCATCTATTCTCTCTAGGTCAGTAGGAAAAAATAGTTTGTGGTGTCAGGCCATAACCTCATCCTGTCACCTCTCCACAAAAGTGGGCATACACAAGTCAATGCTTCCAGTCTTCAGGTTAGTACTCAGCCAGAGTACTACCGGTAATTTGCAGGATTAATCTGTTCTTTACATATCATGAGTTAAGTGTACTTGAGGGAATTGTCACTGTTATTTCTAATCCTGTAAAGACTTTCTCTCTCTCTTGAATTTAGGGTGTGTATACATGGTGAAATATTATGCTTTTTGTATCACTGTTACCTTGCTTGAAAGTGATGCAATTTTTTTGCTACTACATGATGCATTTCATTGGTTCAATGGCCCTACTCTAGTGTAATTTACTATGTCGCACAACAGGATTTTGGCCACAATCGCTTTTATCCATTCCTCAAAAATTGCTAGTCTGATCAGAAGAAAGTCATATTTCATTTCTTCTTTCTAATCCAGCCCCAAGAATAGCAACAACGTGGTCAGATTTTATGTAGTTTTTATAGCTTGCCAGAGTTCTCTGCTAACACAGTGATTTTTTTTCCTCATTTTTGGATACATGCAATGCGAGCTTTTGCACACAATATAGCTGCACTGTTTGCTATATTACAGATTGCATATTTCTGTTGTGTGCTATATCACATTATTTATTTGGCAGGAATCTTTGACTATAATAAAAATGTCTGTCTGATAAAGAAGCTGAATTAGAATAGTTGTTTATAATGCCTGTTTTCTGAATGTTTGTTCACATTAATTAACTGAAAACAAACTGACCTTATTAGGAACAGTTTGTTGACTATAAAATTTCTCCTCAATGGAAGGAGACCCATTTATGAATGAACCATGGGCACATCCCTGTTTCATTCATCCTTTTTAACTCATCTATACAACTACAAATAGAAACTCACCTATAAAACTACAAATAGCCTTTTAAAACTATTGGGGTGTCTTGCAAGCATCTCTAGAAGGTAATGGGCTCTAGATCAGTGGTTCTTAACCTTGGGTTACTCAGGTGTTTTAGGACTGCAACTCCCAAAAGCCTTCACCACCAGCTGTGCTGGCTGGGGTTTCTGGGAGTTGCAGTCCAAAAACACCTGAGTAACCCAAGGTTAAGAACCACTGCTCTAGACTACAAGTTTATCTTTTGTCTGTGGAGAGGGGGACAATAACATTAAAGTAAGCAAGAGATTTTGATGGATTTTATTGGTCCCCATGAACAGGATGATCCATTGAAGTCTTTCCTAAAGTTTCAGTTTTGAGCAGAAATCAACGGTACTGCATAAAATTCGATTTTTAAAAAATCAAGTAGATCATGATTTTGTTCTGTGTTCCATCTGTCTCATTTGTTTCAGCAGTTCAGCTCCAAAGCATGACTCCATTTAGATCTAATACATTTTACTTCATAATTATTTCTGCAATTATCAGAGCCAGTTTAATACATACCCTTTCTCACAGGTGAAAGTTACTTTTGCCGTATACAAGAGATCCGTTAGTATAACAACATCACCATATTTTGGTTTTCCTGGATGACCACAAGATTTTCCTAGAAGACAACAGTGAAAATTACCATGCTAGGATGAAAGGGATATAACACTGTGCAGTCTTGGGAATGCAGATGTGCTCATAGTGATCTATGATTAAACTGCTACAATGTGCTTAATGTGGGGGTATGGGGTGTTCTTGAAAAAGGTTCACTGGTGCAAAATATGGCAACTGCATTATTGTCTGCTGTGTGCTGTAGAGGCCATATATCACTTCAATTCAAGATGCTAATTTTGATCTAAGAGGCCCCAAATGGCTTGGATGAAGTTATATCAACCAAATGGAAAAGATGTTATGTTTTATGTTTGAATAGCTTCCTCAGGACTATGATCAACAGTCTCTAAACAGGTTATGAAAATATACTGAACTTATCTACTGAATATAATAATAATTATATGCCATCAAGTCAATTACAACATGGTGACTCTTTCCAGGGTTTCGTAGGTAAAGAATAAACAGAAGTGGTTGACCATTTCTTTCTTCTGGAGATGCCCTGGGACTGTGCTGCTTGCCCAAAGCCACACAGGCTGGCTCTTCTCCAGAGAGGCACAGTGGCAACTGAACTCCCAAACTCTAGCTCTGCAACTAAATACCTAAACCAGTTGAGTATACCATAGATTTATAAAGACCCCTATGAATACATTACAAGTGAAGTGGCCACAAGTAGAAGAGGGAAGGCGTCCTGTACCTTTAATTTTTGTGTGCAGTAGGGAACTTATCATGCAGACTACACCAATGGCTTCTTTTTTCATAGTTTTTAAAGGTACAGAGGCCTTTTCCTTTATGTTATGTGACTGTTTTCAGATGACTAGCCTAATCAGGGGACAGCAATAGGTGTAATTTAAATGAGATAATAAGATACTGACTTTCACAAAACACTGGGAGTGCACTCCAAGTCCTGCTCTCAAGACAAGTAATAAGTTGACTGATTCCAGGGATGCTGTTATAACCTGGGCGGCAAATGTAGGTCAATGTGGTCCCAATACGATAGAAATGCTTCCTTTCCCCTCCTTTCAGTTCAGCAAATTTTGAGCTTTTTGGTTTTCGGCACCTAGCTGGTAAAAAAACCAAAACAGAGTAAGTAAAAGACCATGCTAATAATGCCTTTTAAAAATGTTTTTACTTTTTATATGAAACATTAAGTATCACACTTAACCTGTTACATCAGCTTACCCTCTGGCCTCTCCAGTTATTCTTTCTGCTAAGCAGGATGACAGGTTTATGTTTTTAATGATTTAAAAAGCACTTTAAAGACCTTCCTGCATTTGGGAATCTATTATTGTCTGAAGGAAGTGTAAGCCTGTAGTATGTGGAGACTTTCCTGAGAGATAGACTGTGAGAGCAAGAAACAACACAGCAGGGTATAATCCATACACATGTGTATACAGTTTAAAACTTGCTGGTCTTTAAGGTGCTACAAGACACCTTGACGTTTTTGTTTGGAGATTGTTTTGTACATATTTAGCCTGTACATATATATACTTTTACTTTTACAAAAATAAATAAATAATGGGGCCCTGTCTTTTGTGCTATTTTATTGTTTCACCTAGACAGCATCTTAAAAAGCAGAAACATCACCTTGCCGGCAAAGGTCCACATAGTCAAACCTATGATTTTTCCAGTAGCGAGGGATGGAAGTGAGAGCTGGACCCTAATGAAGGCTGACCATCGAAGAATTGATGCTTTTGAATTTTGGTGCTGGAGGAGACTCTTGAGAGTCCCCTGGAATGCTCACTGGAAGAACAGATCCTGAAGTTGAGGCTCCAATACTTTGGCCATCTCATGAGAAGAGAAGACTTCTTGGAAAAGACCTTGATGTTGGGAAAGGGTGAAGGCAAAAGGAGAAGGCGACGACAGAGGACAAGATGGTTGGACAGTGTCACCGAAGCAACCAACATGAATTTAACCCAACTTCGGGAGGCAGTGGAAGACTGGAGGGCCTGGCGTGCTCTGGTCCATGGGGTCATGAAGAGTCGGATATGACTTAACGACTAAACAACAGCAAAAGTTGTTTCATACAAAATGTTTTAGAAAATGTATAAGCTGAATAGGTGTAGTCATTTTTTTAAAAAGTGGAGATTCTCAAAACTTGTGTGGAAATGACAAGGCAATTGTCTGAAGGGTTACTCCTGAAGAAACTCCTGAGAATGCAAAAGAGGCCAGTTCAGTTGCTAAAAGCTCCCTTCTTGGTCAAAGAAACTGGGCAATTGGATGAGATTACATTTCTAGATTTATTTCAACCAGCCTTCAAAAAGTTGGCACTGCAACCATTTAAAATATTATAAAAAATAATCAGGTCAATACAATACTAAGTGCCATTGTATTTTGTTTAATTTCAACTTTAAATATGAAATTGAGAGGACAAAACAAATCAATTGGTCTATATATAAACAGAATGCTGTTATTTATCTTACTTCTAATTGGCCAGAATCCTTTTGTAGATTTATACTGGTTTAAGTGTAACTGAGTTGATCACAGTGGCGAATTGCCACTAATTAGCAAATTACTGCCTAAATTCTTACCAAATGTACCACTTTGGATAACCAACACACAATTAGAAATGCAAGCAGTGACTCATTAGTTAGAAACAATTAACCATTCTGATTAATGCAATTATACTCACATTATTCTAAATCCAGAATCCTATTGTGGATATAATTTATTATGCAAACTCTGTACACATTTTAAAAGTAGGAAGTAACTATCCTCCTTTTCATAAACAATAAGAATAGGTACAGTACATACGGTCACAAAACTCTTCTATGGGTGACCACGTTGAATCTGAAAGGCATGTTGTAACATCTACTTTTCCATCGATGTTATAAAAACCTTCCAGGCATTTGTAGATTACTGACTGGAGGGGACGGAAGCTTTCTGTAAGACTTCCATCAATAGGAACAGCATTTTTCAATTTTGGAGGAGGCCCACAATCACCTATGATGAGCAGAGAATAGTTCATTTAGTTGTCAAATTCCATGGAAATCAGTAAAATAAATCATATCCATATTGAGTATCTATGAATTCACTGAAAATCTGATATTAAGTTCTAACTTCAGTCTATTGTGCACTGGGAAAATCACTTCTGCCCCACCTCACACATCTACTATAAGGACTGCTGGTAAATTCAATTATAACAGGGAAGAGTAACAGTGATAACAGATGAGGCTGTTATCACTACTAATTAAAAATACCAGCGCTTCTTTAAACAGGCAAGCCCCAACTGTACAACAACACTGCCTCAATGGAAGAGTAGATGCTTCAAGACAGAGTTAACCCACCATAGTGCTTTACTGTTTATTTTTTACTTCCTCATCCTTTGCTATCCTACTTTCTTAAAAAAAATGGTTCTCACAGCAGATTACAAAATTAAAACCAGTCAATAGAAGTTGTTTTTTCTTTTCCTTCTAAAATGTTGATTCTGTTTAGAACATGATTGTTTTGAATAAATCCCTTGGTTTAAAAGCAAACATAAAGAAATAAAAATACACACGCAGTAAAATAAAATAATAAAATCAAATCCAACTATTAGTTCCAGCTTGATTAAACCCACTGAATCTATAGGATTTACATATGTGTTGACTTTATAGTCTCATCCATTCAATGGATCTATTCCAGTTGGGCTTAACAATCAGTTTTAGTCTTGTGATTTTAAGAACCAATGAAGGAAAAAATAAAACTGAAACAGCATATAAAGTTCACTCTCACTGACAAGACCATTTCTCAAACCAATCTCTCAGTGGGTTATCAATTTCCCTAACAGAAACCTAAACTACTGAGCTATCCAGCAACTCAATACTGAAAATCTGGAGTTCTCCTCCAAGCACACAGCTAATTATAGTAGAATTCTTCTCATGGTGTTCCAAAGAGGGGTGTCTGTCAATTCTAAAATGACAGTAGTAAAAAAAATAAAATTGAAAAATTAAAAGAAGAAAATATGTTATTTATTTATTTATTTATTTATTTATTTATTTATTTATTTTTTTATTTACCCTGCCCCTCTAAACAATGTCTACTCGGGGCACCTTACATGCATAAAAAATAACTTTTAAAAAATATTCCTAATAAAAACATTGCCAAGAGCAAGGCATTTTGCATCAATATTGGGAGAAATAAAATACTAGTAGTGTGGCCCTGTACACTCTTGTTCAGGTATCTCACCAAGTTTGACAGTTCAATGAGACTTCTTCAGGGAAAGAGAATTTCTGATTGCAGCCTTGGCTGCAGCTTGCTTTGAGAATTGCTCTATGATGTATACCCTAGCCCCAATATTAGTGATTGGCTTAATGAGGTGGTATAATAACCTTTGCCATAACTAGCTATTTTAGAGCCCAGGGCAATCAGTGACAGCAGTGGCAAATATCACAAGTAGTGGTGGCAGCAGCAGGCTACGGGTTGATGGCAGAAAGTATTTACATACAGCCAAATATACCAAGGTTTGCCTCTACTGTATTCTTCAAGTGCGACCCAAAACAAGATGACTGCAATATGAAAGCCCAGTGCAAAGACTTCCCGATGGGTAGAAGGCAAATAGAGGCAACCTGTGTGTGGACAGATGTTTCTTCCCAAAGAAGGGAAGTGGAAAAAGTTACCAGACCCCTACAGCCCCTTTGATTTGGGAGAGGGCCTCCAAAGTCTCCTTCCTAAATCCCAGGAAATCTCTCTCTGCACATTTGTCCCTCAGGCAGGTGAGGGGAGCATGATGAGAATAAGCAATGGCACACGAGCTTTAACAGACACATGGGGGATGGGGAGGACACAGTGGAGGAAATGATTCAGAAAACTCAGCTTTCACCTTTTGTCGCTAGACAAAACTCTCCACTTAGGGAACCAGGGGATCTGACAGCACCCTATCTAGATGAAATTTCCCTTCGTGGGAATGAAGGACACACAAGACATCACTGAGAGGATGTATCAGCTGAGTTGGTGTGTGTGTGTGTGTGTGTGTATGGGAATGAAGGACACACAAGGCATCACTGAGAGGATGTATCAGCTGGGTTGGTGTGTGTGTGTGTGTATGCACGTGCCATTGACAAGTGGTTTGGAGAGGCTGCAGATCTTACGCACGCACCATGGACAAGTGGTTTGGAGAGGCTGCAGATCTTCACCAAATACACTTGAAACCTGGGTTTGGGTGCCTGGACTGAGACTGGGGTGGGAGACAACCCACATATACTCCAGAAAAGCAGTAATGGGAGCCTCTGTACATATGAATCTGCTCAAACATGCTGGCAGGACCAGTTGGCCCTCTGTATGGGAGAACCGCTTGGTGACCTTGATTGTGCCACATTTTTAACCACCACCACTTTTTGTCCCCCCCTAAATTTCAGCACCTGGCAAAGTCCTGATTGTCCCATCATGATATGTAATGATAAACTTCGTGGCACAATGATCGTGTTAAACCGGCAATCTCTCTGCGTACCAGAACACTCGTCTCCTTCTGGGTAGTAGGTTACCTTTGACTCCATAGAGTAGTGAAAAAAGTACAAAGACTCTGGGATCCCAGCTGCTCATCATGCTTGAAATGTCAAATTCAATGGATTCAAGAATGCCATGAGAATATGGAGTGGAGCCAGGGTAGGAGAACATAGAATCTCCACTTATGAAAAATGATATGTTGCTTCTTCCCTCAGCCAAGTCTTTTTTTCCCTTTTTCCCCCCGTTTGCTCTTCCTTTCATTGTTGTCTTGCTTCACCTTCAGGCTTTTGTGGTTCACTCTCTGCAAGGTGTGCATATGTAACTGTCTAAATAAAGAAATAAAGAAATAAAGTAATGAATAAATAAAGTAATAAAGTAATAAATAAAGTAATAAAGTAACATTTTGTTTTTACATGTTTAGCCATGCCTAAATCACATCCACAATCAAAATTCTGAGTCTTACAACAAGGGATGTCTTCATGGATGTTTCTATGGAGGGAAAAGAGAGGTATAATGTTAGATAATTCACACACGTGGCAACTACTGATGAAATATACCCTGTACCTCCTCCTTCTGACTGCATGCCATGCTCTTTGCAACTTGTGATTTTGGTTCAAAGCTGTTGAAAAGTCTGCCCACAGTAGAAGAAAAATATCCAGACCATGAAAATAAATGTTTCAAAACCCAACAAAACTGCCAATAAAATTCAACTTTATCCCGAGAGAGAAAAGTTAAACACGTACTCATTATGAGACGAGGCATTGGTGCTTAACATGTAGTAGGTGTTTTACAGCATCACTGTCCTCATCCTACTATTTACTACATCACATACCTTGTCCAGAACAAGCTGTGCATGTTCTAGAATGATTCCCTTTCTCTTGGAAACACTGATAAACATTCTGTAGTGCAGAGTGGGAATTTTTAGGCTCTTGTTGCTGTTTTTTTCTTCCTTTGTTGTTTAGTTTGGTCTTTCCTTTTTGGTTACCTGTTGTCAACAAAATTCTTAGCATCCTGTGACTAATTCACATTTTAGATGTGTGAATCCTTTTTTTTATCATTGCCTGTATGGAAGTTGATGATTCCACATCATACATCAGAACTGAGAATACATAGCAGTAAACCCTTTCCTTCAAAACATGTTATTAATTTAGAACAAATGTAGAAACATACTTAGTCCATCAATTTCCCCATAATGTCAAGTGGCAGAATTGGAGAACTTTCCAGTAAATTTGAGAAATTCAAGAGTTTATCAAGAGGGAAACAAGTTATTAGATTAAAAGGTTGGGTGGGAAAAATGGGGAACAGAAAACAAATAAAAGACCCATTAGGAAATTAAGCCAAGATATTTTCTTCATTGCTAATAGGTATTTTATTTGCAGTCTGAGTGAGAAGTTGGAGAGAGTAGCTTGAGAGAAAGGAGTTGTATTAAATTAATACAATTAATTCCATATATCTTAACTATATGCCAGTGTGGACAGGCTCTGTATGAGTTACTGAATTCCAAAATATCCTATCATTAACAGATCTGCTGAGATCTTGCAAACCAACACCATATCATGATAGGTTGTTTTCTCTTCCTACTGCCTGCCCTGCCTAGCAATAATGTCTTTTCCAATAAGTTCTGCACACATCTTGCAGACTAACAGCTGTTGCTTCCTCTACTGAATCAACCCATCTCATGTTAGTTCATCCTCTTTTCCTAGTGCTCCACCTCACTTTCCCCAGCAATATAGTCTATTCTAGCTACTTCTGTATTTCCATTATTTGTGCATGCTAGGATAGGCTCTCAGCCAACTCATTTTTGCTTTTGTGAAATTTCAGGCTTGACTTGTTTGAGCACCCACTTTTCTGCTTTTCTAGCTGTCTTTCATATTGTCAAGAAAACCCCTCCTTAAAGGATGCTATTCCACTAGGGGAAGGTGCCAACTTTAGTTCTCAAATTCTACCACCCTTTGAACCCTAGGCTGGGTAAAACCTAGAACATGCATGAATGGGCAATTATGGGGAAGCTTCGGTCCCTAGATTTCCACTTATTCCTTTATTCTGGGGAAAAATACTGTTGGCGGTGTACTTTAAGGCTTGCACATCAGCCTGACCATGTAGGACACCCAAGGAACAAAAATAGTCAAAATAGCCCTGTGGCTAAGGCACTTGCTTTAGACTCTCAAACCCTTGATCCCCCAAGAATCACATTTGGATATAATATAAGGTGTATTTTAAAAAGATGAAAAAGTTGTAAAACATAAGATATTCAAACGAATTACAAATTGTGCTGTTAGGTACAATGAGCTTTCGCAAGCAATTCCCCAATAAGACAATAAAAACTAAAAAATTTACTACTTAATCACCGTGCTATTCTATGCTACCATTGCTAAGTCTCCTAATTAAACATGGAGACGAATAATAAAAACTTAGCTAACTAGAGTATAACGGATTTACTACTTAATCACCATGCTATTCTATGCTACCATTGCTAAGTCTCCTAATTAAACATGGAGACGAATATAAAAACTAATGGTGATATTCAACAAATGTTGCTGATCTGTCAGATATTCATTGCTTTGTATTCTTGAGGTCCATACCCCAACAAATATGAAGCAATGAATATAACCCATTTATATTGTTCCCTTCATCTATCACTCTCTGCTTATGCCCCCACGGATCAGCTGTTCCTCAGGGGCATAAACAGAGAACGGCTTTCCCTTTGGGTGGCTTGCTAAAGCCTGAGCAAAGCAATCCCACCGTCCTGTTTACAAAGTCAGGCGATTGCTTTGCTCAGGCTTTGCCTGTCCTGGAGGCAGTACAGTCTCACTCTGGCAACTCCTGCAACGTTGCTGGAACCAATTGTATTGGCTCTTGCCTTTCCATTGAACTACTTCAGTGATGTGGAGAGGGGGAATTTTCTCCTTGGGTAACAGTCTATCCTCCATATTATTTTACCCAGGCTTCGTGCTCTGGAGAGGACATCCCAGCTTCTCATACAGTATCAAAGTAACACGGGAAGTAGCAATTACCAGCTATAAGTCTTTTCATACAGCATCAAAATAACACAGGAAGTAGCAGTTACCAGTTATAAGTCTTTGCTTGATTGGTGTAGAGCATGACGCCATGGGCTACTTGTGACGGTGGGACAGGTCATTGCACCTCATTAGGTAGCTACCACTCGCCTTAAACTGGGCAGCCCCCAGCCAGTAAGGTGCTGCCTCGCCACTGTCTGTTAACACCACAGGGTGTGTGTGGTTTAGGGTGAAAGCTGCCACAGGGTGTGTGTGGTTTAGGGTTTAAGCCAACAGATTGATAACCCTGCACCATGCAATAATAAGAAAACTTCTGCCCTAAAGTTGGGCACCTGGAATGTTCAGACAATGACCCCTGGCTTTTCTGAAGACCTGCAGGAAATAGGCGACACACGCAAGACAGCTGTCATTGGCATGGAACTGAGTAAGCTGGAGATGGGCATTGTTGCCAGAACTCAGGGTCTGTCAAAGAAAATAATTTTCATTCTTCTGGCTTCTCAGCATTGTAGGGAAGCTGCTTGCCCATGTCCTGCTGAAGAGGCTCCAGGTGCTTGCAGACAGAGTCTATCCAGAATCACAGTGTTGATTTCAAGCTAATAGATCCACCATTGCCATGGTATTTTCACTCAGACAGTTGCAGGAAAAATGTAGGGAACAATGACAGCCACTTTTTGTGGCCTTCATAGATCTTACAAAGGCCTTTGATTTGCTTAGCAGGGAGGGCCTTTTTAAAACACTTCCCAAGACTGGATGTCCAATGGTTGTTGTGGGTTTTTCGGGCTATTTGGCCGTGTTCTGACGGTTGTTCTTCCTAACATTTCACCAGTCTCTGTGGCCGGCATCTTCAGAGGACAGCACTTTGTGCAAAGAGCCCGAAAAAACCCCACAACAACCATTTAGACTGTCCTTGGCATCCTTTTTCCTGCTGGCAGTGTGGGCATGATATTATGCAGCAATATTTGGCCCTTTCCTGGCTTTTTGAATCATGGGTACAGAAGCACAGTATCTCACATTCATAAACTGGTGGGGATTTTTTTAAAAGAATTGAATTTAAATATAACCATGCATCACACAAAGTAAGATCAATAAAAGGGAAAAGAAAGTACTGTATTCAGGTGAGGGTGGTGGGTGTTAAGTTAGCACTAAACCACTATGCAAAAGAAATAAGCAAAAATTCCAGCAGAGAGGCTAATTAATATCTGAAAGATTTCTAAAAGAGATTATGGTTTCTTAAAAAGAGAAGTAGGGTTTTTAAAACACCCCATGTGCATTTGGTATCAAGCAGCAGAAGGGGAAGATGGAACAAATGTTCCATGCAGAGGAGCCCAGAATCTGGCAGCTGGACTCTCAACAGGAGTGGTCTCAATGATGACTCAGCCCTCTCGCTTTACTAGGTGGATGAGAGAATGCATCTGTTACAATAGGATGGCAGGGCACTGCCCTTGCTCCCCTGTGGACGCTTATGAGCCCACAAGTGTTTATTGCATCATGCATGAAAGTAAAACTGACATATTTGGGCAGCATTGAGAATACTGTATCTGCATTGCATCACTAGCTTCTTTCATTACTTTGAAAATAAAGGCGACCCTTGATTCTTGAAGTATTTTATTATATGTTTATTTAATACTAGCAAACATTTCCAAATAAATATCTTTTCCTTTATATACAGACGTCATCTTCCCTTTATTTAACCAAGTAAATTTTGTACAAATTTTATAAAAATAACAACACAAATAGACAAGGCTCTAGAGTGCTAATGCTGATTCTGCATGAGAGGTCCTGAGGAATTCAGAAGAGCTGTAGATTTTATTAGCTATGTTGCAATTTCTTCAAGAGACATCTATGGGGCAACCTTGAGACAATATGTGGACTGAAATCCAGTTGTTAGTTTCAAGCAGAGTAGTCCCACAGGCTCAATGAAACTTACATTAAATATTGACTTGCTAAATTCTCATTGATTCAGTGGGTCTTCCCTTGCTGGAGCTAATAAATGGATTTAGACCACAGCATTCTGGTAGAAAAGCATCAACACTTCCTAGTTACATCTTATGACACTTCTGTTACAGCATTTTATATCCTGTTTAAAGTCAGATAATGGATCTCCTCCTAGGAATATATATAACCAGTTCCCTTTAGATTTGATTTTGGCACTAAAAAGGTATTCTGCAAGGCCAAAAGTGCAAATGCACAAGGTTTTCCTGAGACCAAGAATTACTCCAAGAGGCAGAAAGGCAGTAATTAAATAGGCCATCCTTCATCCTCTAAATGCATAAATTCACACAATTTCTACAACTATGAACACAGTGGATCTCTACTCCATCCCCATTTCCAGTTCTTGAGCGAAGACCAAAGGGGAATTCAATATCTGCTGGAAAGTACTAAATTTTATTGTAGAAATTCTGTGCAAGAAGTACAGAATCTTCATTTTTCTTCGACTTGTGATTACATGATAAGAATCAGAAGAGCCACAATCAGAGATAATTTTCCTGTAAAAAGGAAATTACATGTTTAAACCATTACATCTTTAAATCATTCAAAATTTTATTCCCTAAACTTAACAGTCCTTCAAGGCCTTGAAGAAAGGAAATGACAATGTTAGCTTTACATTAACAGATAATACTTCTATTGGTGCAAGGCAAGGCTCTGGATTTTGCTGATCTTTCCTACTCTGCAGTTCCTCTGTGCCCTAAAAAAATTGATGCTAGAATTCAGGGAACCTTTTGAAATTGTTTGAGATATAATGTACAGTGGTGCCCGCTAGATGCTTACCCTGCATGAAATCAAAATCGCTTAACGATGACTTTTTTGCGATTGCTATTGCGATCACAAAGCGATGGTTCCAATGGGGGAAATCTGCATTACGTTGATTAAGAGCCTGCTTCGCGAACCGTTCGCTATATGACAATTTTTCCGGCTTCGCAAAATGGCTTCCCTCACTTTGCAAAATGGCTGCTTTCCAGACCTCTGCTTCACTCTGAGATTGGATATTACCAGTTCACCTTGGGTGACCCTGCTATAAGCCTTAGCTTGTAATGGACTCTGGCCTCCTATACACACCCAAACCCCTTCACCACGTGCATCTAAGAAGGGGTGTCTGTCTTCACCCTAAGACTCTTTGCTAAAGGCACTTGTGATTTCCTCCATGCAGGGGTCTTTATTTCAGTAGTTGAGTAAAAAAAAAGGGGAATCGTCCATACTCATTTCTGTCAGGCATTAAAGAAAAACACTAGTAATTATATAAAAAATACCTCACTCTAGAATTACTTACCAACAGCAACTGTGGCACTGTCAGGTCCTGAAATTGGAGAAGGAGAGGGAGAGAAGAAGAATGAGCCAGAAAGACAAGCTACTATGATCAATTAGAAATATGTATTATCTGTTGCTGGAGCTAAGGCATGGGTCTCTTGCTATTCAAAACAACAACAACAATTTTCACAGATTCATAAGCAGTTGCAGATTCCAGAAATAACATCAACAGAGCTACAAAAACTGGCAATATTAGGAAAAGCATATATACTACGTTGATATTTAACAGATATTTAGGTTTTTGGCTAAAACCTCTTTCTGTTAAGTAATACCAGTCAATGGTTTTATAGTTTTTATTGTGCCTGATATTTTTGAATAATTATAATAATATTGAGTACTGCTAGATTCAATATAGAGTTTATTGAAAAGAGAATGTTTGTCAGCTTTGGTTTGAAAACAAAAACTTTCTTCTAGAATGGACCCCCAGAGTCTCAAATTCACTTTGGTAAATGGCAACTGGCACAGCATGTGTGAACTGTTTGACATCTGCATCCGCAACTTAAGAAGGCAAGACTAGCTGCACAGAATAATTTCTCCTACTTTAGAAGGCTTGGAAGACTATCAGTAACACCACTGTGCTGAAGAAAATTTCCAAGCCTAAGGCCTATAGTATAAGGAGTCTTGCAGCACAGTGGTTAAACTGCTATGCTGCAGCCAAAGCTCTGCTCGCCACCAGGGTTCAGTTCCAGGTTGATGTTCACATAGCCCTCCATCCTTCTGAAGTCAGTAAACTGAGTACCCAGCTTGATGGGGGAAGGCGGGCGGAAGCAATGTGCAGCCTGCATAATTAAATTATAGGCGGAGGCAATGTGCAGCCTGCATAATTAAATAATAAACTACCCAGACAGTGCTTTAAGTGCTATGGGACCATATATAAACAGAATGCTTTGCTTTTTTTTTTAAATGCACATCTACTCAAAAGTGAGTCCCATTTAGTTTACTGAGACATGCCCAAGGTAAATGGTACAAAGATTCTACCAAATTTGTATTTCATAGAAGCTAGGTTTAAAGCACTAACTAGGAACACAGCAACCAAATGATGGTTATATGCCAAGTTCAGTATTATATGCAAGGAATACTTTAGGGTACACAAAAACTTCCAGATAACCATAGATATTCAGAAAAGTAGCTGCTCCTCCCAGCTTCACCTTCTTTTACTGCAGTTTTAAAGGGCAGGAGAGAAGCAAGAAGTTGTTCTTATTTGTAGTAAAACAAAAAAGAGACAAGAAATAAGTGTATCTACAATACTATGATTTTCCTTTCTCCCCCTCAACAACAATAAATGGAAAACAAGGTTGTGGAAATTCTTAAAGGGCTGAACACCGGACATATATCATACAAGATTATACTTCCCCTCTCAGTAAGCTGATTAGAAAAGACGAGAAAATAAAAATAAATAAAAAACCACAGGTTTCTAAGTCACATATAAAAGGGTAGTCTTGATTTTCCTCCCCACCACTAGTGTATTTCAGGAGGACATTTTCACTATCCAATATGAATATGTGTTTGCCATCACCATCTTTTAATTTACCTGGGTCAACTGTAGCTGGACTCTGTGTAGGTCCTATAAGGAAAAGAAAGGTTATAGATTCAGCATTTATGAACATCGGGATAGATGAGATAAATGGAAAGAAGGGTCAGCTTTCAAAGCTGTTGACACATCCTTCTGGGCTAGAAAATTCCTATTCTTCAAAAAGTATCATTAGGAAGTCACTTAAACTTAATGAAACATAAAATTGGTTGTGCTGAGTCATAAATAGCAACAAAGTCTAGTGATGGGAAATACTTTTATAGGGACTAGCCACAATGCCACAGAACTGTCCAAGCTTTGCCCAGATAAATGAGAGAATAATTTTGTTGTTTAGTCGTTACGTCATGTCAGACTCTTTGTGACCCGATAGACCAGAGCACACCAGGCTCACTGCCTCCCAGAGTTGGGTCAAAATCATGTCAGTAGCTTCGATGACACTGTCCAACCATCTCGTCCTCTGTCGTCCCCTTCTCCTCTTGCCTTCACAACTTTCCTAACATCAGGATCTTTTCCAGGGTGTCTTCTCTTCTCATGAAGTGGCTGAAGTATTGAAGTCTCAGCTTCATGATCTATCCTTCCAGTGAGCACTCAGGGTTGATTTCCTTTAGAATGGATAGGTTTGTTCTCTTTGCAGTCTGGGGGACTCTCAAGAGTCTCCTCCAGCACCACAATTCAAAAGCATCAATTCTTCAGTGGTCAACCTTCTTTATGGTCCAGCTCTCACTTCCATACATTGCTATTGGAAAAACCATAGCTTTGACTATGCAGATCTTTGTTGGCAAGGTGATGTCTCTGCTTTTTAAGATGCTGTCTAGGTTTGTCATTGCTTTCCTCCCAAGAAGCAGGTGTCT